GTGATTGCCCTGATTTATGGCTAATCGTCTCATGGAATAAAGTACTGAGCCATATGACTTGGCTGCTCCGAGCAATGCATGGAAGGGGCAATGCATGCGTATTTAAAGTCTACTGTGTTTTTTGAAGAAAATATCCCGAAGGTTTCATTTATGATGGCTGTTACAGCTGCATCTCTAAGTCAGTGCTATTTGAAATTCATGATCATTGATCAGAAATACAGTTACTGCATCGTGGAAAAGGTGTGTTTTTCCTTTTTCTTTTTCTTTTGAAATAACTGCGCGGGTGACCGGTGCACAGTTCCGAATTCTTTCGCAGGAAGGAATAACAGTAACAGGGCGCTCTGCGGTTCTGTTCCGAGGGAGGGCAGTTAGAAAACTGCAAATTTAAAACAGAAGTGTTGTTACAGCTTTGTGCACTTCTAGCCGTTGGAAGAGTTCGGAAGTGGCAAAATCAGGCGGCCACTGATGTTGTTGTTGTTTGTTTGTTTGTTTGTTTGTTTTTTTTTTCCGCGCCTGCTTATGCCACGGCCGAGCTGTCTAGGCCACACCCGTGGCTGGGCCATGGCCAGGATGTCTTGGCCACGCCCGTGGCTGGGCCACGGCCGAGATGCCTAAGCCGCACCCCGGGGAAACGAGCCAAAAACGGGAGGGCCTGCTACCGGTAACTGCTCCCAGGCCAGGCCACGGGGAAAAGAGCGGTACCGCCACCGCCACCTCCCGTTTTTGCCAATTATTGAACCGGTAGGCCATTACTGTTTTTCTTGCAGTTTCTTTTTTTTTTTTTTTAAAGGTCCATGTCATAGTAGAGGGTTGATGCTAGGCCTCTGGAGGTTTTTTTCAAACTGGTCTTCCCCCAAGCTTGCAGTGGACTGTTATTTCTGCGAATTCTGAACTGTGCAGCGGTCACAGACGCAGTTGTCTTTTTTCTTTTTCTCTTCTTTTTCCTTTTCTTTTCTTTTCTTCCGCTCTTGCTTTGTTCTCCCCGTGAAGCAGCGCCACGTATCTGATTTCTAAACAGGGGATCAACTACTAAATAGCCAGGCTGGCACCCTAGCACAATGTTGCCTATCACCCGCGTACTACCTTCTTCCCCAGAATACAATGTATGGTCATTATAGCTGTGTATGCAGACTAAAAAATACCCGAAAATACCTTTCTCGGCCTTTTGGCTAAGATCTAGTATCTGTTCTGACCAGTTTAATATCTGATCCGTGGTCCATCGGACCACACGATATTAAATTAATTTTTCTGGGCTACGGGGGGGTCTTACGGGTAAGCTTGCTTGCTCTACCCCTTCAGCATTGCCTCTGTATTGCACCTGTCTCTTATACACATCTAGATGTGTATAAGAGACAGATATTGACCTGGCTCGTAGAGTGGCACGTTTGGGTTTGTGTTGCACCAGCTACAACAGACGGAAGCGGCCGGACATGGCAGCACCCCACACGGG